GGCTTTTAGATTCCAAAAATAGGAGCATCCCCCTGGAGAATGGATAGGGAGGGGCATCGGTACTTCCCAAGCCAAATATAAAGTTCTGACAAGATCACACTGTTACAGGCCACACTTATCATTAATATGAAGATTTCTATTAGATAACTTCTAAGCAGCTCAGGTAAATACTTAATTAATTTTAGCCATCTAAAAATGAAGGTTCTAGTCCAGGTGGTCACCTCAGCTTCTTCTGTACTCACAGAAACTACAGGAGACAAAAAAAGTCACCTCCAAAGAACTCACACAACCTGCTCCAGACATCAGCGAAAGCACGGGAATAATGATCACCTGCAGGTCTCCTTCTCCTTCCACCAGGGCAGCCTGGACAACAGCTTGATTATACGTCTGATATTTAGATGAGACTTTATTAGGTGATACAAATTCTGTACCAAACAAAACAAAACCCCACAGTCTAACAACTTTTTAGGCTGCAAAGTAACTTCAAATGTATTATTTCCCACCTATGTCAGCTATTCATGGCAGACCATATAAGAGAGGAGAAACAGGGACAATAGGTAAGGGAACCTAAAACCAAGGTTTCAGAGAAGCAGCTTTTTTTCACTTAGGAGTCAGGAAATGTAAACAGTGCAATACAAGAGTTCATGGTAACAACAGTAATCCTCCCCCTCTGCTCTGCCCTAGTGAGGCCATATTTGGAGACTTGTGCCCAATTCTGGTCTCCACTGCTCAAGAAAGACAAGGAGCTACTGGAGAGGGTCCAGTGGAGGTCACAAAGATGATGTGGGGTCTGCAGCATCTCTCTTATGAGAGCCTGAGGGAGATGGGCCTATTTAGTCTGGAGAAGACTGAGTGGGGATCTCATTAATACATTTAAAAATCTCCAAGGCAAGTGCCGAGAGGATGGTGCCAGGCTCTTTTTGGTGGTGCCCAGTGACAGGACAAGGAGCAGTGGCCATAAACTAAAACACAAGAAGTTCCACTTCAATATGAGGACGAACTTCTTTACACTGAGGATGGCAGAGCACTGGAACAGCTGCCCAGGGAGGGTGTGGAGTCTCCCTCTCTAGAGACATTCCAAACCTACCCGGACATGTTCCTGTGTCACCTGCCTCAGCTGACCCTGCATTGACAGGAGAGTTGGACTGGATGATCTCCAGAGGTCCCAGTTTGGTTATATTGTCAGCCCCAGTTATTCTGTGACTCTGTGATATTGGTTCTGGATGTCCCATGTTTGAGGAACACACAGAAAAAATTCCAATACTTCATGATATACCTTATAATAAAGGAAGTTTAACCCGCTGGTATTAAAACAGAAAGAGTTAACAGGAGTGTTGGGCAATAGAACAGGCAGATTACAGCAGGCTCCTCCAGAGTATGGCCATTACAGATGGAAACTGATTCCAAAGTGCAGCTAAAAGCACATTGCCATGTGATCCCAGTAGCAACTGCGGTCCCATTTTCTCTTTTTATGGGAAATGATGTCATTGGGAACGGCTTCATTGGGCTAAGTGTGGAATTTTCTAAATTGAGTTTTAATGAATAGATTGGACAAAATCATCCTCCTGCCTGCAATAACCAAATGTGCATAGGTGGCAAATATCTGTTTATTTAGATACTTCGATTTTTTTTTTTTTCAGAAATACTCTTGGCAATTACTATCCATCTAAAGACTTTTTTAAAGCTGTGACAGGAAACAGAATTGTCCAAAAATAATATTCTCTAAAAATAGATCGTGGAGCAGCACATCATTTTAAATATGCCTTATAAAGCTAAAAGAATTTTCTCGTTCCAAACAGTGAAATACGATTCTTCTCGATAACTCATTAATGATTTATGATACGGTGTTGAGTTTCACAATGGTTCTTGTTGCTGTGGTGCTAATGACTCTAGTGACTACAGGTCCCAACCATCTGTATCACAACTTGATGAACAGCTAAAGAGAAAATGAAGAGTTGTACACTGGGACATGTAGTCTCATCAGCTACAAATAAGTTTAGTAGAGGGATATGTTACACGCAGCTGTTTTATCCAAACTAAAAGCGATGTTTGAACTTCTTGCAAATATTTATTACCATTGTCAGTACAACAGGCCAAGCAAAACTAGGAAACTAAATAAAAGTTACACTTTAAGAAAATATTGTGGTAATTTGACTTCATCCAATTTCCCCTGAAAAAGCATATAAATAGAAAATGACAGCAGCAAACTCTCTGCTGTCATTACATTCCTGCAGCTTAAAACTGGGACATCACAAAACAATATGCAGAGCCATGTTTTCAATCACTTTTATTTAAAATAAAAACCACTCAAAACACAGCTGTGGATAACATGGAATCTAAATGAAACCCGTGATTGTATATAATTCAAAGTGTTAGGAGAGATTTATTAAAGTGGAAAAGGAGGGTGAAAGATTAAATTTACGTTTAAGTGTAGAGGTTAAAGAAACATGGCACATGCCTGCAGGAATTCTGTGTAACCTCTACCTTGTCTGTATATCATAGATTTGGTGGGGGGGGGAAAGGAATAAAAGGAAGGGAAGGCAAGGAAAAGCAAGGCCAAGCAAGGCAACGCAAGGGGAAAGGGAAATGCAGCTTTAAAAGCCTGAACTGCATTCAAATTGTAATCAATTATCTTTGGATACCAAAAAGAAGTTCAAAATTGCACTGATGGAGATTATGGGAATTACTCCACGACCTTCCATAATCTCCCTTTCATTGTGGAATACGCTGCATATTTTCAGTATATTTTGCATTTAAATCTCTCTAAAGGTTTGTTTCCACTAACAGAGTTTACTGCATTTAACTACAAAAGCCCGACATTTCTAAATCAAAGGCCCTGAATCGCTAACAGAACGATTAGCAATACCGGTGCTCAGTATCCTGATAACGATCACGATGAGGGTGAATACAGGGAGACTGGATCCAAACGTTCTGTCCAGGCACAGGCAGCAACGGGAACTGGAGATTTTGTAATCGCGCCCGAAACACGGTCAGTTTATCTATCACAGGAAAGCCCCACAACTATGAGGTTTTGTTGGATTTTTCGCAGCTCTTTTAGCTATCTCTGGGTAGGGCTTTGATGTTGTTGGTCTAATCTGCGCAAAAGCCCTCAATAAACTGCCCTCAGTCCCTGATGAAGTTGCACCGATGGATATCTACAGTGGGAACATAACCAGCAATTGGAGGGCTTTCCAAAAATTCGTCTTAGGGAATCCTAGAATGGTTTGGGTTGGAAGAGACCTTAAAAGACCATGTCGTTCCAACCCCCCTGCCATGGGCAGGGACACCTTCCACTAGACCAGGTTGGTCAGAGCTCCATCCAGCCTGGTGGCCTTGAAAGCTCCCAGGGGTGGGAGAGCCACAGCTTCTCTGGGCAACCTGTGCCAGGGCCTCACCACCCTCACAGTGAAGAATTTCATCCTAATTTCAAATCTAAACCTACTCTCTTTCGATGTAAAGCCATTACATGTATGGCTGCTTGCTGTCGTCGCTGTTTAAGACGGAAACTACCTAGAGTAGACAAGCTCGCTAAGCACCCACTTCACCTTTCCCAGTCCTCCTCTGCATCTCTCCCTTTGCATTCAATTCCTTCTTTACAGCCTCGCAGCTCCTGTGCATTCCTAATCCTCCCCTTGAAGCACTCCCTCCTCCTGGCACCCACTCCAGCTCGGAAATCCCCAGCCACAAGGTTTAACCACGGCTTGCCGGAATTAGCAGTTCCCCCCCGAAGCACCCCTCTCCCATCGCAGCCTCCTCAGGCATCCCCCCCCTTCTTGAGACCGAACAGTGGTCTGTCTAAAAGCTTTTCCTCTCAGTTTGTTCTCTGCAGGCTGTCGGGGGGAGTCTCTGCCACAGCCTGAGCACACCGCCATCCCTTTTGTCCACAGGCCAGCCTTGATCAAAGGGGGGCTGAAAACCGTGGGATTATTAAACCCATTATGCGTTCATTACTGGTAATCCGCTGCTGATTTTGCCAGCGGTCGTGCTTCCAGCGGGAAAATCTGCGGGGCTCCGGTTCAGGCGGGTAAGAGGATATCCCTCAGGACCAGGGGACATAGTCTTAAAGTGCGCCAGGGGCGGTTTAGGTTGGACATCAAGACGAATTTCCTCGCAGAAAGGGCGATTAGACATTGGAATGGGCTGCCTAGGGAGGCGGCGGGGTCTCGGTCCTTGGAAGTGTTGAAGGAAAGACTGTCCGTGGCACTTGGTGCCATGGTCTGTTTGACATGGTGGTGTTGGATCATAGATGATCTCAGAGGTCTTTTCCAACCTAACTGATTTTGTGATTCAGGGAGACGAAGTTCATGCCCCCAGCGCCTCGGGACCCACCGCCCGCCCGCTCCATCGCCCTCATGTGGGCTCAGCTACTGCCGCCACGGGCCCGGGACTGAGATCGGGACAAGGATTCCAACCGGGAGCTGCCGCCTCCCACCCTCGCGTCGCTCTCATCCCTCAGGGAGAGGGGTGGGGCCGATGACGTCACCGCCCCTCGCGCCGGTCCCGCGCAGGCGCGGCGCGGCGCGGGACCCGGGGCGGAGGGTGATGTAATACCCGTAACGGCCCCGCTCCCACATCCGGGTACCCGCCGGGGTGCGCTGGATTTTTTTTTTCCCCTCCTCTCCCTCCTTTTTTTTTTTTTTTTTTAACCCCACGAAAAACCTCCGTTTGTCGCTTATTTATTTTCTTTTGGGGAGGGGAGGGGAAGCGTTTCGTGGTTTGTTTTTTTTTTTTCTTTTTAACGAGGGTGAGAACGAGGAGGGAAAGGACGCGCTGGGGCGCGCGCGCGCGCTCCCGTCTCTCCTCTTCCCCCACCTTCCCCCTTCCCTCCCCTGCGGCGCGCGCGCCTGCGCACAGGGGCGGAGGCGGCGGCGGCGGCAGCGGCGCAGCGCGAGAGCGTCCGTGTGTCCGTCCGTGTGTCCGTCCGTCCGTCCGCGGCCGGCGCTCCGCGGGGGCGCTGCGCGGGTGGGCGCGGGGGCAGCTCGGGCCGGGGGGGGACGGGGGACCCGGGGACGGAGGGGGGGGCCGGCGGCGGCGGCGGCGGTGGGGGCGAGATGAGCGCTGGGCTCCCCCTGGGCACAGAGCCGCCCTGTGAATGAGCTGAGGCGAGGCCGCCAGCCGGGTGCCCCCCTCCTCCTCCTCCTCCTTCTCCTCCTCCTCCTCCTTGTCCCCGTCCTTCACCGCCGGGAGCGGGAGCGCGGCCCTGCCCGCGGAGCCGGCGCAGACCCCGCCGCCGGGGCGGTGAGTGTTCGCTGCGCCGTGAGGGGGCGGCGGGGCCCGTAAACAACCGGGGGTGGCTGCGCGGGGGCGGGGGGGCGGCGTGAGGAGCCCGGCGCCATCCCCGGCGGCACAGCCGGGATGGAATCGGAATGGGAACGGGGATGGGGGTGCGATCCCGCTGGGATAACGCCGCTGCCGGGACCCCCCCGAGCGGCCCCTGCATTGCAGCGCCTACTGAGGGGCTGAGGGCGGGGGTGTCCACGCATCCCCCCCCGGGCACCGGGAGAGGAGGGCGAGCAGCGCGGGCTGGGCCTGGCTCAGGTAGAAAACCAGCAGCTTTCCCTTTCTCCCTGCCCCCCCTTCTTCCCTCGCCCGGAGTTCATTAAATAAAAGGCTATAAACAGCCTGCTCTCTCCCATCGCCACCCAAACGCTCGGGGCACGGCACTGGGGAAGGAGAGAAGAAAAAAAAAAAAAACCACCACGCATCTATTTATAAAGCACCCCACCCTGGCGAGGGTCGGAGCATCAAGCGCTCCCCGAATAGTGACACAGTGATGCAGCGGGGCGGCTTCCCCTCGCCAACGCCTTTCGGGCGTTTTAAAGTTCGGGAGGGATTTCGGTGCCTTTGAAAACAATGTCGTTGAGCAAAGGTTGCGCTGTGACGGTCTGTGATCTGTCACGGCCTGCGTGGTAAAAGTCCGTGGAACCGAGCGCTCCCCCCCCACCACCCCGCCCCGCATGAGAAAGTTGTGCTGGGTTAATTGGGCTTGTGTGTGAGAAATGCCAGAGGTTCTGAGCATACGTCTGAAGCTTTTTGTTACATTAGATTGTGTGCTAGTGGCTGTGATGCAGCTTTAAGACCGGCTGGAGGTTAATAGTTTTTCACGGGAATTGATTTTGCAGACGCGTCTGTTCGATACGTATTTGTATTTATTTAGTACGATTAAAATATTTCAGCGTTGCCCATGTGGATGGCAAAATTTTCGTTGTAGCAAAACTAATGTTTAAGTCTACAGTAATACTTGGGAAGAACTAGATGTTTTTTAGAGCTGTACCTTCTGTCAAATGGGAAAGTGCTGTTCATTGAGGGCCTGTCTAGTAACCTTAAGGTTTAAGGTCCTGTATGTCTTCCAAAGGAATTTTTTGGTTTTATTTTTTTTTAAACAGAAGGTGATTTTAGACCACCGAGAGCAGTAGCTAGAAGGAAGGTAGGTGATATGTTTTCCTTAGACTGGGATGTTTAGCATCAGAGTAAACAGAATGAATTTATAAAGCAGGAGTTCTAAGTCTTGTGATTCTAGGAAATGACTTCCCAAATGTGAGCCCGTGTAGCACTTTGCTGAGCTGTTCCAGTGGTTAGGTGGCTGAAGCAGGATTTGTGAAGTACCAGTGCAATTAAGGCTGGTTGGCTGCTGTTACTCAGGACCCCGTGTGAGTTGCCAAATGACCAAGAATTGTGCAATTTCTACCCGCATTTCTTCTGTGATACCTTCCCTTCTGTTACTATTCATAGTTTTTTCTATGAATGACATCAGAGACACAGGATGGGGGAAGAAACATGGCTCAGGGAAGTTTTACACTTTACCTGTCCAATCACAGTATCAATCACAAGGAAGGTGTCGAAGGACAACAGTTTTGGTAGGTGTTACCAGCATTTTTGCCTGGGGTAGGGACAGCTGCTCCTGAAGTTTTCTCTTCCAGGCATTTCTGGGTCTACCTTTTGTGTATGAGACTGGGCTAAGAGTAAGAAGACTTGCTGACACATCATGCCAGTTATTAATGTTTTTCTCACAGAGATCTCTGATAAAAGCCTCAGGTAAATGTGGAGAGAGCTGCTCTGTCCTCTCTAACTGCTTGGCATAGCCATGTTTTTGTCGTATAAAGGCAAGGCCTAGCTCTGGTTTACAGGTTTATTCCTCTGGTTGGTGGTTGTCTGGCAAATCTCTCCCCTTGAGGTACAGTAGAAAACTATTCCTGTGTTCCAAGTATTTCCTAAACTGTCTGTAGGTAAGCTTGAGTTACTTTTGTTGAAACAGAGGAGGAGAGATGGAAATGCCAAATGACTGGTGAAGTTTGCAGGTCTAAACAAGCACAACTCAGGGCAATTTGAATTAAAGCAGAATACTAAATTTTTTTTTTTCTATAAAATCGAGCTAGTTGCTTCTTATCTGGAGTGCAGCTTATGTGGTGGAGTTGAGTCATTCTTGCTGAGACAGCATTTTGAGTCCTGTCATTAAAATGCTTAGAAATTTAACTCTGTCACAGTATAATTTGCAAACTTATGTAACTGGTATGTTTTTGAATGCAGCTGTCAATAAGAGATCTTATTGCACTTTTCCTTTTTAGTGAAACTATGGAACATAAAGCAGCTTCTTTAACAAGATGACCTAAATATAAAAGTCATTTAAGAACAGCATATTTCTTACAAAAATATTGACGTTGCTATTGACTTAATTTTTAAGTGTTCAGGTCTGTTCTGATGTAAAAAATACTTACATAATTGGCTAAGCAGAACTGCATTGCAATCAAGTGATGGAATGATGCAGGTTGTGTTATTAAATAAGCAAGTTTTGGAATGGAAAGTACTGTAAAATAATTGTATTCGTTTTGTCTCTGCAAACCAGAGGCGTTTTTAAGACTTGACTGGTAGCAGTGTTTGAAGTCAAGACAGTAGTGGCTTATCATAGGTAAACCTGAGCCAAACAGCATTTATTCTTGCTATTGCATGTGGCCCTTCGTGATTTTTGCTCCTCTTTTCTCATAAATCATACCTGACTTTTACTTCAAAAAAAAATTGACTTATTATCTTTTTTTTTTTCTGAATGATGCAACTTGTAGTCTCATTTGGTTTTTTGGAAATTAAGCTCCTTTTGGATACTACTTTGTTGCTGAATTCTCACCGATCTCTGTAGTTTTAGTCACATGATCCTAGTTTCAGTTTAAAATACTAGGATAAGAAATAAACCTCTGTAAAATTTCACATGCTTAACTCTAGTGCTCTTCATTGAATGAATGGCAAAGTACCAAGTATGTGTGTACAATTTGTAATCCCTGAAAAAATGCCGGTGTTCTTAGGGTATTTGGAAGGTCCAGGGAATGCAGGTAAATTTACATTTTATGGCATTTTATATACATTCCATTAGCCAGAGGATAAAAAATAACGTTTAAGGAGAATTCATGACCTGATGTGGGTCACAGTGGAGGTAACATTATCTACTTGTAGCTTCGTAATGTTGCTGTCTGGGAAGGAACAGTTCAGCATTTATTAAGATTTAATATTGCCAGAGTAAATCATTTGACTCTTAAGATGAGGAAGAATGTTTAGACCAAGAAAATTGTAATCAGGGCAGGAGGAGAAAGCAAATGTGGTACCTTGGGAGTGAGCAGGCTGATTTTTGTTCCTGAGCAGAGGTAGTAACCACTGAGCATTACTGGTGTTAAACCACAAATTTAAGTTACAGATTTCTGTCAAGTCTCTGTCTTATTTATTTCTCTATTTCTGTTTGTGTTTAAACACATATACTGGTAAAATTCACTGATGGATATTTCAGCTTGCTGCCGGAGTCTGCAAAACAGAGTGTGTTTACAAATATGTGAAACAGTCACTCAGATTTTTTTTTTAACAGCTCTTCTCAAAAAGTGTTTTGATGTGACTAAAACAGCAGAATAAAAACTTCCTTCATTGGCACATCCAGTGAAGTACACTTGTACTGTTTAGAGTGTAAACTTTGTATCAGGATATATGTATATATATATATATATATATCAAAGGAGCATTTAAGAGTGATACAAAGGAAAAAGCCAAACTAGCTAACCATGTTTCAGTATTGAAATGTGGAGAAAAGCAGTTTACACGTAGGGGAAAAAGTACATTATCCTCTTTGTTGCTAAACAGATTAGTTCTCAGTTCAGGTAAGACTATTTTAGTAGGTAAAAAGCTCTCTAAAGTCTTCGAAGATAATAGTTTACAAACCTAACAAACCCAAATGTAACATGGCTTGTATTTTGATAGCTGCAGTTTAAGTCAAAGCATTTCAGTGTGCTTGTGCTGATACTCCACGTGCAACCGAATTATGTGGGACTACTCAGATGTCTGATGTTGCTCTCATGCTTAAATGCCTTGCTGGACTGTGACCTAGAGGATGAAATGTGTTCTCATGTTTGGGCCTCAGCTGTAACTTGAAGGGTTTTCTGTCTCTATGTGTGCAGTTCATTTTAACTTCCAGCTGTACTTGTGCTCTGGAATTTGAATGGTGGCCTGTATTCCTGACCATGCATCAGAGCAATTTGTCCATAACGTTCTGTGGTATTTTTTACTTAGAAATTTTTTACTCTAAAATGGCAACGGCCACGAGAAATGTAAACTGTGCCCACGCTCTTTGTGTTTGGAGATGAGCTCAAGGAATTCTCCAGCTGTTAAGTAAAACCCAGTCTTTGAAAGGGGTGCAGGATGTGGAAAACTGTGGACAGGTAAGCACTTAGCATTAAATTGTAGGAAAATTTAATGAAGAAAGAATCAGTTTCTATCAGTCAGTAATTTTCTGGTTCCCCCAGTCAATTCTAGTGAGTATTTGGACAGACCCTTAAGAATATTGTACTGCTCCTTTCTGAGGCTGCAGAGTGAGGCCCTGTGAGCTTGGGCAGTCTGGAAATTAGCATTGCTTATATTTTGAAGAACAAGTGAATTGACAATGACCTCATTCAGTGATCAGAGTGTTTCGAGCTGTGATGAACTCTTGGACTGAGCAGAGCACCTTTACTGCCCTTGTTCATCAGGGGCAAATCATCTCTGCACTGATAGAAGTGAACTTGGTAATTGCTGTTCCCCTCAGAGGAAAACCTGTCCTAAGAGGTTCTGTCTGCATAAAAGGCTAAAACAATAGTTGTGGGTTTTTTTATCTTGGTATCTCATTTTTATATTTTTATGCAGTCTTGTGGAGAAAATCTACTTTATTGCAGCAGTCATCCTCTAACTTTGTTCTTTAATGAACAAAGGAATGCTGGGGACGTGAGGGCAAA